TGTGTTGGAAATCACATCCCAAACGATCACACTTCCTCCCTGAATCTGTCGACCTGTCGAATGCAATTTAGAGGCAAAAGGTTCATTTCTCCGATGGTAAACACGCTGTCCTCCATCTCGACGGTGAAGGAGAAGTAGTGATTCATCAGATCGCAAGCGATTGCGCCGAATGGAAGCCTCTCAAAACAGGGGCTACAACTGGTCTTCTTGGTCGAATCACCACTTCACGCAATATGGTTCCTGACAGTTTGGTCGGAAATTCTTCTCAGCGATGCGTTGTGCAGTCTCCACGGCTGTGGCAACTCGATGAGCCATTAAGCAGCCCGGATGTAGTGGTCCTGGGCTTGGGTGGTTAACTCTTGGACGGCCGCTTTTCTGGCGATCTTGGGCGGAATTGGTCTGCAGGAAACGATCCCAAAGGCGAGTTATGGTGCTCTGATGAACGTTGAAATGTCGGACCACTGCAGACTGCGACTCCCCAGCTTCAAGGTGGCCTATGACGATGTTTCGATTGGCGGCACTCAATCGTGGCATGATGATTTATTCTTTCCCAGCCAAAAACGAATCTCAAACAGGTTTGTCTTTTTGTAGTGATCGATACCGCATATTTTTCCGCTTACTTGCACGAGCATTTTGCTTTGCATGATTTTTTGGTGACGTTTTGGTGAATATTTCTTCAAACGCTTCTAAAATTAAGGGGAAAAGTTAAAATTGCCACGTTTTGATGCTGAAGCTGTTTACAATCACACAAAGATGATGACTTGGAAAGAAATAGAATAGTATGTTTGTATTGTTTTGCCGCAACTACATAAGTATATATATTCTCAAAATCATCTATGCGTTTAATTTGTTTTTTTAAGAGTGTACGTACATAGCTATATACTAGGCGTCATAGATAAAGGGTCAAATGATATATAGCACACGTTTAAAAAGTTTCTCAGAAATAGTAAGAGTGTCAACATAATGTTTTATGTGTTGACAAAAGTGACACATTGTGATATACAGACAAAAATTTTAAACAACACTAGCAAACATCAGTTGTATAGACCAATCCCCAAATGCAAATGACAAACATGGAGCACTAAGTCATTCAATATCTTGTGTACCCGCCTCGCCCGTCCAAGACACAGGTGCACCTTGTTCTCATGCTCATTATCAAGTTCATAAAGAGAGCTTGCGGAATCGCATTCCATTCCCCTGCTAGAGCTCTGAGGAGTCCTGGGAGATGCACTGGTGCTGGGTTACCTGTGTACACACGTCGACCGCATCTCAGGTATCTCAGGCATCTCAGGCATCTCTGGCATGCTCAATTGAGCATGTTGCCCACTCAATCCGCTTTACACCCTCCTGCCAAAGGAATTCCGTGACAATCCTGGCCCTCCTGAGGCCAAGCGTTGTCGTCTTGCAGTAAAGAGCGTCGACCATAAATGCATGCATAGCTTGCAGTAATGGCCTGACCCCTCTCCAAAAGTGTCCCAAAACCGTCTTATTTTAAGCTGCGATTTCAAACAGGTACCTGAACAGTGAACGATAGTGTAAAAGCATCAATACATCTGTATTGTCCTCCACTTTCCATAGACTTGCACGTACAAATCACTGACATTAAGTGGCAGATGGATTTCTATATTAACAATATGAATAAAAACTATGCCATTTGTAACAGAATGCATCGGACGTTAAAGAACGTAAAAATTCCATTTCAACGGCCTGATTCCACAACTTTTAAGAAATAGTGTTACCAATAGCCTGACCCTTCATCAACAACGCCGAGTATACATATCTCAAATGTGAACAGGACTATTTGCAGACATCATGTTGACAGTGTAAGATCGTAAACTTATCACAACAGTTCAAGAACACCCGCACATGACCCGCAGTTTGACTGTGTGTTGCATTACCTATCAGCCATGACAGATTCAGTGTCATAGAACAGAAATTGGTGTTCTTTGAATTCGCCTGAGTAGAATATATTTAGATTTTAAATAATTTGTGTTGCGAGTATGGCCATGAACAGATGTGCAGTGACGTCTTGGTACTTCCACACAAAATATATAGCAATGAATAGTTTTCGCTATAATTCGTGGATTTCTTTAACAAATTAACCACGCCTGAAAAATACAATAATCGAGTGAACAGTAAGAAATATTGAAAACAGAAGAATCTCAGCTCTCTTTTATGAAGGAAATCACACCCAATCAACACTCCCCGTTTCAAAACCCCATTTCCCAAACAAACATTCTAGATCCCCGTACCACAACAATGACCGGCCTCTGAATATTATAATAAGGAGTGGTTTAACCATTCATTTCTGTTGTTTTTCGTATATACGTTTCGACAAGTAGAAACACATATCACATGCGACCGAAGGTAGCCGAGAGGTGGTAATACCTTACCCCGAGAAAGCCAGGAGCTATGACGTTGATGCAAGTGAATTTGTTGCATTTGTCATTAGATCACGAGGCAAGCACATTGCTGATCACGAAGCATATTCAATGTGATGTAGATTTGCATCGAGAATCTTTGTGGAAACCTCAATGGACAGTATGTAGCCATGTGAAGCCACAAGTCATAACTATACTGAACAGCAAAAGAAACGCAAATCTAGCTTTTTGAATAGAAGACAAACAAAATTATACCTGATCACTTATTCTATAGAAAACACTGTCAGTGGATATACTGAACATTAAAAGTGACAGTCTTTAATAGCGTGTATGGCCCCCTTGAGCTTGCACCCAGGCCGTGCAACGTCACCTTGTTTTGTTCACCAGAGGCTGAAAGAATGCCTGGGGCAAGTGGTTCCACTCGAACCCAGTTTCAGTTCCAACTGTGCAAAAGTGAGTGGCTGTCTACCTGCAGCAATGTCCAATTTCGTCCCAGACATATTCAGTGGGAGCCATATCCGGGAAAAGAGAGGGCCATAGAAGAACGTTAATGTTGTTCTGAGCCAGATGATGGACACCCTTGCTGTGTGAGGAACTGCTGAGAGAACTGTAACTGAGGATGTACAGCAAACATGGGCACAACATAGCACTGACGAACATGATCCCTGTACACAACAGAAGTTACACGTTGCAGGAACACAGGAACCTGGGACCTGTGGTTGTAACTGATCATCACACTGTCACCACCCAATCTGTTTGCCTGTCTGACACAACAATCAGCGTAACGCTCATTACGCCGACGCCAAAGACGTAAACGGCCGTCAACATGTGAAAGATGATATCGAGACTGGTCGCAAAAGACAACTTGACGCCACTGCAAACGTCGCCAACGTTGATGTTGCTGGGCCCATTGTAAACGTTAATGACGGTGTTGACTTGTCAAAATGTCCCCACATATTGCAGTCGGCAATGGATTCCAGCAGCCCGAAGACGACGTCTGATCGTATACCTGGATAATGCTACTCTTGGCCCCTGAACAACTTAGGCTGCTGTTACTGTTGCTGCTCGTGTTCGGTTCTTTAGGTGAGTGACCCAGCTGAACCGATCTTGCGCATGAGTTGGCACTGGTGGCCGTACGGTACGGGGACGAACAGCAACAGCCCCGGTTTGCTGATGACGTTGAGCAAGTCGTGTAATGGTGATAAGATGACAGCCCACTTGTCTAGCTACAGCGGTTGCAGACGTAACTTCTTGCAACATTCAAATGGCCATTCCCCTCTGCTGAGTCGTTAGTCTAGGCATCGTGTGTGTGGCGTGTACACCTCCTATTGTCAATACTGAACTGTTATTTTTGACACAGTTTTATTATTACATCCAGACCGTCAATGCACGTGCTAAAATGATTGTTTTGCTGCACTGTGGTTGTGTTTGTGCGAAAGTTTCGTATGCACGTCAAACTGCATGACATCATCTCATCTGGAATCATTACGTCACTCTAAAATGAACGTTCCATAAATATGAACGCTTACTTTCATGAAATTCCATTTTTCGAAAATTGCGTTTCTTTTACTGTTCAGTATATCAATATAGTTTATAATGAGCAACGCAAAGGTACAGTAACCAATGCAAACATTATTAGAATAATCAGGATCAAAGTTAACAAGCTATCCATACTATCAGGAAAAACAGGGACAATCTAGGAATAACAAGCCTGAGATGGTTTGTATTGCGCTGTTGAGTATAGAGTACTTCATAATGCATGGCCATCGGAGCGGGAGACTTCGAAACCAGTGTACCACGGGATAGGTTGTGAACATTTCGTTTTTTACGTCTAATATAGTAGAAAAAAATACATCTGAATTTGTACTGCTACGTAGATATTTATTTACTCAGTCTGCTTGTAAATAAACTGCAAATGAGAATTCCACAAATTCGAATTTAACGACCTCACGCGGAAGTTACTGCGAACCGCAGGAAGGATTTTACTGTGGCAATAACCCACTTTAGATCATTCATGTTGTTGTCATACACGTATTAAATGAGTGAGTGAGTTTAGTTTTACGTTGCTTTTAGCAATATTCCAGCCATATCAAGGCGGGGGACACCATAAATGGGCTTCACACATTGTGCCCATGTGGGGAATCGAACCCGGGTCTTTGGTGTGACGAGCGAACACCTTAACCACTAGACTATCCCACCGCCCCTACACATATTATACGGCAATAACTCTTTGATCATTCTTGGTAAATGAGTTTCATGTAAGGTGCTTTAGCAATTTCACGACAATATAGTTTATTTCTCAAATGGTACATAGATTCGAACCTGGACCTTCCATGTACCAATCAAGCTCTTCAACCACCCAGTGACTGAATGTTGAATTATGTCCATGTCACTCGAGCAATACCCCAACTATATCAGGGCTTGGGACATCAAGAGGGTTGTAACACCATATACACGCTTGGGTGTGACTTGCCATTGTTTGGTGTAACCACTACCCCACCGCCTCATGTGCAAGCTGGCACATTGTAATATATCAAGTTTTCAAATTATTGGAGCCGAGGAAATTGTACTTCACTGCTTGCTACATGACTGTGTGTTAACATCAACATATACACCTACCACTCAGCAACCAGACAATGCTTGCAAGCAGAGATAGCATGGTGGAGTGTGCTGTAGCTTGGCTTCCCTGGCTAGAAACTGCAAACAATAAATACATTAAACGTGAAAAATGTGTTTTGCAGGCGGAGGGCTGTTTATATCTCGACAACAACGACTCTTGATCGATAGGCACGTCAAGCAGATGTGCCAAACGATACAAGGTACACAAATTAGATACCAAATCTTCTAGCACATGCATTTTTATCTTCAAACTGTCATTGTCCATAAATACTTATTTGATAAAACGTATAAAAATACGTAGTTAATCAAAGTTAATACTTTTCATGACAAATCCTATTTTGTGTCGAAGAGAAACAATTGTATGTATCGTCATACAATTGTATGTAATTAAGTCTTAATTAAAGTAATGAAGTCATCGAGAGTGTTCCTAATGCTATAGCGTAACCATCTACCGAGATGCATGCAAAATTTCACGAAAATCGGTCAAATAGTTTAGGAAACAATCACTTCTTAGTGAGCATGGGGTCGGTCTGGCGAAAGCCTACCAATCCAACTTATTGTCGTACTTGTTATATATTAACGAGGCGACAGGTGTTTTTAGCTGAATGAAACGCAGGTCTCGGGGGTTGCTTTGAGCGAGCGCCATGGACGAGTATAAGTGTGTGTACGTGTGTCTCTCGGCTCGGCTCTGATGATGCACGGCCGGCTGACTAGCGAGGCTACAGATGTCTGAAGGTGAATGAAACGCATCTCTCGGCAGTTTCCCCCAGGCCGTCGTCTCGGTATCACCGAGCGAGCGCTGTGGGCGAGTCGCAGTGTGTGTGTGTGTGTGTGTCTTGACTCGGCTCCGCTTGTATAGCCGACTGGCTGGCAACGTTATGTTGATTTCCACTAAATCATACCGCATCTCTCTGCAGTTCCCCGGTCGCCTCGCTGCCGTCTCGGTAGCATTGAGCGAGCGCTGTGGGCGAGTCGCTGTGTGTGTGTGTGTCTCGGCTCGGCTATTTACCTACAGCTCGCTGAGATGGATGGCTACGTTATGTTGATGTCAGCGAAACAGTTTATTGTGAATCTTCTATGATTTGTTTGGTTTTCGTTATGAAGTCTTGTCAGTCTGTTGCTTCCCTTGTTCTTTGAAAAAAAATTCTTCACAAATGAAACTCTTCCTCAGAGATTTTAGAGTCGGTGAGCGCGGTGGAAATATGATCGTGTATCATGTTTAACTTCGCTTCGGCTAGAATTCTAATTTTGTTGTGTTTCAATGCTTTACGTTGCAGTCTGCGAGAATCGAACTTAAGCGCCAATCCCATCAACCCTGTCACTCCGGCTGTTATTTCGATGCCTAGTGGCCACGATTGGTGGATAATAATCCAACACCTGCTACGCCTAATCCCACGCTGACTGAAATCAAAGCGCTGTTAACACCATCCACGGAATTGACGGCCTTGTGATATTTCTTCTGTAATGCTGACCGCGTATCACATTCACATTCTAGTTGTTGCTTGATCTCGCATATCTGTCGCAAACAAAACCTGTCTACGGTTTCCAGTGTTTTTGCCACTTCATCCACGACCGGGTACAGTCCCATTCTGTATATATACTCTTTTTATAAATTAGTATTTAATTGGTCCTCAGTCAAGGTTTGATGAACATACTTTAGCTGATGAGGTAAAAGTTTTCGTATATATAAATGGTCTGGAGTTCAATAAAATCCTTTTGAAAAATCATAATATCTAGGTTTGCAGTGGGGGTTCTTCCTGGTTGTATGCAAATACGACAACGTTTTTGTTGATGGCGATCATGCCAGCATATTTTTAACCCATGCAGAAGGTTTATATCTACTCCGGGGGCATCTCCAAGAAATACTTCGATAACAAGAGTAGAACCTTGTATCATACTGATCCACGAGTCTGGCACATCAGTATATTTTAGTAAAAATAACGCTGCTTTTTTCTCATTGGGGACTAACATGTAAGCCGTTTGATCTGGTAATGGCGCTACGCTCATCCCCATTAATCTTCCAGGATCAAACCTCCCCAGCAGTATCCCGTTATTTTTAGCGAGACGCCACAATCATTATTATCCATGATAAGATAGGGGTGGTAAGGATAATATTGATGATCCAGTTCAACTGAGATTCGATGATGATTTCTCGTCGTTTGTACATGTTATCTTGTAAGCGCATGGCGTATGAGGTGTTTTCCTTGCCTGGCAGATCGAATCCCCGCGTGTCTCCGAGATCGGCTAGCGTTACATTGGGATGATGGTTCATCTCGTTTATATAAAATGTATTACGAAATGTTTTCAATTTGTTATCAGATAATACCTCGGACATGCACTTCAAACCCATGAGATGTATGTTGTCGAGTAGGAAAATTTTGGTGAGCGATATCGTGTCTTCCACGGCCACGGTGACTCCCTGTAGGCTGGTGTAGACGTTAACGTTCACCCGCACGTAAACGGAGCAAACTTGGTATCGTTGTTGTTTGGCCCAGCAGAGTTTGATCCCTTTCACGATTTCAACGACGCAACGCACCTACAGCGGTTCGCCGAGGTAGACTTGGATGTACAGTGTGGATTTCGCCGGCAGAATTTCCACAACGTTTACCATGCTGTCGAATTTCGACACCATCTGCAATCCCACGTTTTGCGTCCCAGGTTTGCTCGTTGCCTCAACTTGCTGACGATCACACTGCGTGTTTGCGTAGGGACGTAAGCCATGAGCAGCGTTCCGTTGTTCACGACTTTCGTCAGGTAGTTATCATTGTTGTTTGGAAAACGTGGGGAGAGTCGAGCGTGATGTTGAGATTCCAGTCCATTTTGGATGGCACTAATACCCATTTGTTATCGTCGTTGAAGATGAGAGTTTTCTGCGTGTTTCTGGAGACACCCGTGATCTTGACGTCGTCCAGGTGGAACAGCCTGCTGTGAAACGCTGGGGTTATCATCCATTCATCCTCGTCGTTGCGTATCACGTCGTACCGAGTGTTGTTGACTGCTCCTTCGGTATCAACGAAATCGCCTAGGTCGTTGTTCTTACCACCACCGCCAGCGGCAGTAAAGGACGGCAGTCTGATGCTTTTAAAAATGCTGTTTTTCAATTGCAAGGCGTATAGTTTGCTGTCGACTCCGGGTTCGACGAATCCGCGTGTGTCCCCGTGGTCGGAGATCGCTATGTTGGCGCATTTTCTAACGGGTGTTCCTGGACCTTGAGACTCCGTCATTGTCATATGTGCAGCGTCGCGCTGAGATACCCTATACTTAAGGGATTGTGTTTAATGTCTAAAACCGATATTTTCAATTCCGTGATGTTGCCTCTGATTTATTTCATATACTGCCGCGACGAAAACGATTCGGTTGTGCCGCCGTGTACTTTTCCGTTTTCACCAGCACGGCTCTCAGCAGTATGGAAGGTCGTTCGCCTTGAACGTTGTCAGTCATGCTCAGCTGATTGAGATGAATGCACAGTTGCGATACGGAATGAGATCGGGTAATTTCGTGCTGGTCACGGTGGTTTCTGGTGGTATGTCGTTTGATGTAAACCCGAGCGTTTCAAGTCGTTTTTTCTTTGTTGGCTAACATGACCGTGCCGTTCGAGTCGTTCATTTTGAGTTCGGCTCCCACAAATTTGAATATTTCTTCATTGAACGAGCACACGCTGTAGTAGCCGTCTGTTATTTGGTTGCTGGCGTTATTGACGAACAGCCTGTTGTTTCTGCCGTTGATGTTGGTCCATCGTGGGTAGTAGGTGATGTTGCAGAGCGCGACTTTGAGCTGACCCGACGTGTTATCGATCACGTGCAGCAGTTGAATGGACTCGCCACTCGTTATTCCCAGAAGCGTCACGTACATATTGAAAAAAGTAAATATGTATACTATATATAACAATTCAAATATGTACAACCCGGGAGTGTTTTATTCTAAAAGTGATAATATAAGTGCTACCAATCTCACGCAACCGAGTATTGTGGTCGATGCAAAGGATGGTTTACATTTCATATTTCGGTTCATCGACGTGTTTAAAATTACGGGGTTTTGGTCATGAATGTGAAAAAGGTAGACACTTTGTTTAACAACCCGATGCAGTTCTGGCAGAATCAATTTCGCCGTGTGGTGCACGACCACTGGGTGGGGCGTGACGTGACGACACTCGTTGTGATGCCCTGAGTCGGTCTGTATTCTCGTTTCACGTGTACTACCAGATCAGACGTATCCTTACAGAAATCAGTGCCCCGATTCCGCAGAACGTGGCATGGAATGCCATAAACAATTCATACGATCGACGTGCATACGAACGCGTTTGCGGTGAATTCGATCCGAAGACGGTCGATTGGCGTTTGCCGGGTCCAAACCAAGGTTTGGGCATTCCCATCGTTCACAACATGTCTCTCGTGGAAGCCAGCAAACAGCTGGTGAAAGATTGGGGTTACAAGTCGTATAATTACGTCACGACGAACGAGTGGAATGATGATTACATGGCTTTCAACGACAGCAAGGATTACCGCGTTTGGAGGTTTGAGCAGGGACCTGCGGATGATTGGAAAATGTTCATGCTGGACACTTCAAAAGGGTTTACTCGTGCCAGTGTCGTCAGATTGAACGATTCGATTCGAACGTACGTGTGGGCCGTGCTGGGCGCTCAGACGCTCAGACGCAAACGCATTCCAGCATTGTGGGTCGTGAAGTGACGGCTTACAAAGCGCAGAAACAGTTCGTGGCTAAGGTCGAGGATGCCATTGCTAGACCGGTCGATCTACTGAGTGCCATCAAACGCTATGAAAACGCACTGGAATACACCTGTTCGAAAGTCGACCACGTGTTCACCGCGGGACTGTACATGGCTCCAAGCGACATGCAACTGAGGGTGAACAGAGTGGTGGGCTACAACAATGAAATTGTCATCGCCACTGGCGATCAAAGGTTGGGCTTGAACCCGGACGTCAATAACGCGAGTCGAGTCATGTCACAGTACGAAACAGGCATCGTGGCACCGACACCTGAAGAAGTAGAACAACAACAACAGCAGCAGCAGCTGCCCCCGCACGTGCATGCAAACAATCAGCGGCACCTCGATCGCA